GTCAAATTGGCCTGATACCATATTACTGAGTGAAGTATCTCCCAGTTCTTAATAAATATTAAGTAACTCTTGCCCTCACCAAGTTAAGGGATATAAACAGGGCTTGCTCTACAAAAATAAAACAGAGATGTTGTTGGCATCAGAATAACAGGCACTCAAAGGAGTCAGCTCCTAAATCCTCTAGTGATTCAAATCCACTTTCTAGAACCGGGACTTCACAGCCTGGGCCAGTGGCCCCACATCTGCTGCTAGTCCCTTGTCCTTCCTTGTTCATGGTCATGGGGACAAGAGATGGGTCAGCCCAGCTGAGGTTCCTGCCATCTCTATTTGTTCCAAAGGGAGCTGCAGAATTGAGTGGTGTTATCATACACTCCTCCACCCCAGATCCCAGGTTTGATGCTCTAGCTCTTGATTGGTCAAGGAGACTGCCAACTCATATTGCCTCAACAGATACTGCTTTGGGGGGAAACCTAGACTGGGCCCCTCTGTGTTAGAACTTTCGAGACCAAATACAACATCCAAATCATGTGAATAATTTTCTTGATATCTTTGGAGATACTCAGTCATGTAGCAAGAAGTTTCTCTTTTTCCAATTTGTACATTTTTGAGTGTGCCTATCCACATATAAAGCTAACTAATCTTTGAAAATTGCTTTTATTTCAAAATTGGGGAAAATGGTGTGATTCTATTATGGACATAGGAATCAAACATTCCTTCCTGCCTTGGGAGAAAATTTCAGAGACCCATAGCTTCAATAAACTTTCAGAATTTATGCAAGTTAAAACGAAGAGAGGCTTAGTGCAAAGGTAATGCACATAACCCAAACTGGGGCTTTAATATCCATTTACTGTTTTAAAAACTTGTTTTTATTCTTCTTGTCTCAAGCAGTCCCCCACAATGGTTTGGAGACTAGCACACTCTCACACCTTTCAAGATGTATCCCTAATTCTCTCTTTTTTTTTTTTTTCTTTTGAGACAGCGTCTCGCTCTGTTGCCCAGGCTGGAGTGCAGTGGCATGATCTTGTTTCACTGCAACCTCCACCTCCTGGGTTCAAGCAATTCTCCTGCCTCAGCTTCCCAAGTAGCTGGGATTACACGAGCCCACCACCAAACCAGCTAATTTTTGTATTTTTAGTGGAGATGAGGTTTCACCGTGTTGGCCAGGCTGGTCTTGAACTCCTGGCCTCAGGTCATCCACCTGCCTCAACGTCCCCAAGTGCTGGGATTACAGGTGTGAGCCACCATACCCAGCTGTAACACTGATTCACTAAGCAGACCTCATTGAACGTCAATCAAAACTGAAACTGAAGGAAAGGTATCAGGGCAACCTGTTTATTTTAGGGATATCTTATTGTCTGTCTATCACTCATAGTACAATATGAACTTTACCCACACCTGTTGAGTCTTGTTTCACATTACCTTACAGTCAGGTGACTGTTGGTATATTTCAGGGAGACCAGGGGGAATAATCTGTCGTTTCTTTTCTAAGCAATTTATAGGCTTTTCTTTTATGGTTACCTTGACTCTCATAACTGATCATGTAATTATCCTGAATTGACTGAGAATTTGAGAACTGATTTGTAATCTGTTTGAAACGTGATGCAGGACTTTCCTTATACAGCCCTGCCAATGAACATAACATCAGCTTTATTTTATTATTTGATCCTGATTTTTCCTTTGGCTTAATTTCTTTATCTAATTTTGCCCTATACTACATACACTTTGTGTATATATGTACATACACACACACACACACACACAATAAAATAGTGTATTTTTGTCAGCCACCACCAATCCTCTTTATAAGAAAATCTTTAAATAAGAGTGAAATAAATTGTTCCAATTGGTGGTGGTCTGTTCCTTATATCCTGATTTTCTCCAAATAAGATGTTGGAGTCCTTAAAACTGAGATGGGACCATTGCTTTTATTTAGAAGTGTATTCTCTGCCCTGTGGCCTGGTGTTTACTTTTCTTTTATTCTTTCACTTTACTTTTGTCCGCAGCCCTGTCTCTATTCTCCAGCCAGTCACCCCACCCCCAGGCAACAAGCAGCAGTACTGCTTAACAACACCTGGTCCATCAAGGACTCTAACCTGTAACACAGTATGCACTAGAAGGCTCCAGACACAGCCCCATGTCCCCAGGATGCAGTAAATTGTATAACTATCCGCTCTCTGGTTTGTTTCAGGGAAACTGACAGATCTTTATGAAAAACATTGCAAAGAGTGGTATGCTGGAAAGAAATAATCACATAATCACACACAGCCTCCCCCAAGGAGCATTTAGGGCCCTGTCATTAATCTTTGTAACACTCCTACGAAAGAGGTGGATGGCAAGTTCTCTCAGGCCAGTGTTTCATAGGTGAGGGGACAGGGCAGGCCTGGGCTTGTGCTTGGTCTGGGAGGGAGGAAAGAAAACCCAGCACCCTTGAGGCTCCCACCACAGTCAGCCTCAGCACTGACGTCTCCCATGCAGCTCGCAGCCTGAGCAATGCAGGTTTTGTCTTTTACAGGAGTATTTAGCTTTTTAGGGGCGGGTATCCGTACATGGTCATCCATACCTCTTTCCGGCATGGCAGTGTTCCCCAGCCCAGCAACCCCTCCCAGCATCCCATGCTGTCAGTAGCTGCCAGTAGGTTGAAATTACAGGCCTCTAGGCAAAGGTTTTTTCAGGTTTCAGCTCCAACTCACCTCTTGCAGAAATGCATGAAATGCTGTGACCACCCACCATTGGGATTTCCTCCCTGTGCAAACCTGAGCTGTTTGCTGGCCGCAGAGCCTTCTCTAACCCCTCCTTCTCGTGGGCGCTCAGCACCAGGAGCTGAAAATAAAAAGGCGGCAAAGTCAGCTCTGATGCCAGTCTTCTGCCACACAGCTATGTATAATGGACCTGGTTTTGCTTTTATCATTTTGCAGCCTTAATCACTTTCCCCGAAATGCTGCAAGTCTCCACTTGTGGCCTGGTAACTCTTTAATGAAGCTGATAATTAATCTCCAACACCACGCTCTATTACTTGTACAACTAATGTCCAAAATGCAACAGTAGAAGAATAAAATGAGGAAAGATGAGGGAAAAAAAAAGATAGCAACTTGTCAACATACAGTAATTGGTAAGGAATTAAAAGTGGAACCTTCTGCAAGATGGCCTCTCTTTTCCAGGATGGAAATCAAACATTTTATTGGCACAATCTGAAGAGATACAATTATCATAATCTCCAGAAGGAGTTTCTCATGTACTTAGTGAGGTCTCTTTAGGGACCCAAACAATTGTTATAAAATGGACTCCTGTATATCTAGGAAGTGAAAGCTAGAAGGCAAAAACTTAAACGTTCTGTGCAATACAATTATTTATGTTACAAGTAATAACAATGGTTACTGAGTACTCAATATATGCCAGGCATGATAGACAAAATGCCATATAAGCATTGTTTCATTTAATACTCATAAAAGTTGATGACAGATATTTCCCCATTTTACCAACGAGAAAACAGAGTGTCAGAAAGTTAAGTAGCTTGCTGCAGATCAGTCCTCCGGGAAACCAACAGCCTGAGTTTGAATCCAGTTTTTTTCTGACCTCATGGTAAGTTTTTTTCTGATCTCATGATGGTCACACTCTAGTTTTGCAAGATTCTGAAGTGTCTTCTGAATGATCAAATAAAAATTAACTCGTTTATGTTAACCAGCAGTGTCATATTTTAATATAAAGTGAGTGGTCTTCCGAATAGGTAAGTTTTGTAAAACAAACCAATGGAAAACACACCTCACCGAACTAAGAAATCAGATGCTCAGATTGAAGGGATATTGTGGGAACCAAATAAAATCTTGATTATAAAAAATCTTGGGAAAAGACATAGCATTCTACCGAAGAATGAGAATGTCATTGCTATCAAAAATATCAATGTTGGCTGGGTGCTATGGCTCATGCCTGTAATCTCAGCATTTTGGGAGGCCGAGTTGGGCAGATCACTTGAGGCTGGGAGTTCAAGACCAGCCTGGCCAACATGGCAAAACCCCATCTCTGTTAAAAATACAAAAATTAGCTGGCATGCATCTGTAATCCCACTACTGCGGAGGCTGAGGCAGAAGAATCTCTTGACCCCGGAGGCAGAGGTTGCAGTGAACCAAGATTGAGATACTGCCCTCCAGCCTGAGCAATAGAGCAAGACTCCATTAAAAAAAAAAAAAAAAAAAAAAGTGTGATATGTTTGGTAATTCTCAGTTGACCAGAATATTATGTAAAAGAAAACACGTGCTTACCTAACCAATTTACACACCGATCACTTGTGAACAAGCCACTTTTTTCACTTCGTTGTCCTGTGAGACGCAGAACCATACTTATTTTAGAGCTTAGATATTAGAACCTTTCCTTTTTCAGCTTATTTCTGGGCCACATCCACGTCCCCAGTTTTCTCTTGAAAGGACCGAGAAAACTCCTAAAGTGCAACAAAGTGTTAAGATACTGACATACAAATTACAATTAGAGTCACCGTCCAGGGAGCGGATTTACCGCCCCCTGCTCCGTGTTGTTACCTATAAACACAGCTGCATACACTAGCAGGTAGCAGCACCTGTGATTAATTTGCCCTCACGTGTCTCATTTGATAGGGGGCGTTTCCAGCTCTGCTGTGCGTGCCATGGAAGCAGTATTAACGCCGCTCAGAGCAAGGAGATGTAAGGTTCCCAGAAAGACGTCCTTACTTGTGCCGAACTCGAGTTACGAAGAAGACAGCGCATGGTTTTATTGACCAACGAAACAATCAGAGAACTTCTAAAGTTTTTAAGGAAGACGGATTACACTATATAAACAGAGCTATTTCAGGTTTGAACATTTCGAGAGCCCGTTATACCCTTTATCTCCTCCTTCCTCGCAGAGTCTAAAAAGACTAAGATGGTTGGAAAGAGCAGGGTAGGTCCTCAAGGAGGAAAGGCAAACCCTGGTCCGATCCTGGGCTTTAGAAATCCACAGACAACAGGAAGGAGGCTTATTAACCCCTCTCCTCCCCCTCCCTCTTCCCCTCCCCGGTGGAGAATCAGCTCCTCCTCCTCCCAGTCGGTCGTGCGACCCTGGTGCAAAATGCAAACAGCCGCCCGCACTCCCCACCCTGCGCGGCTCTCCCGAAGGAGGGAGAGGGAAGAGGCGAGGGCGCTGCCCCAAGCGGAGTCCAGCAAGGCTGTCAATCGGGCGTGAACGTCCCGACGAGACGACTTGGACCTCAACTCCCTCGCACCAGCCGGACACCGCAGGGACCCCCTTTACCTGCCTCTCTGCTGGGTTTGCATCCGGCACCCCAACTCCGAGCCTAATTTCCCCCCCGCCGCATAAGGTCCCGGGCCCCTGCTCCCCGTGCAGGTGGTGCAAACGCCCCTGCTCTCCGGCGCCCCCTGCCGGGAAGAGGGAAGGCGGCGGCGGCCGCGGCCGCGGACTAGCCGGACGCGGGGGCCGGGACGGAGCTCGGGCGCTGGGAAGAAGCCGGGAGCTTCCCTGATGGTGCCGCCGCCGCCTCCGAGCCGGGGAGGAGCTGCCAGGGGCCAGCTGGGCAGGAGCCTGGGTCCGCTGCTGCTGCTCCTGGCGCTGGGACACACGTGGACCTACAGAGAGGAGCCTGAGGACGGCGACAGGTAAGCGCTGCCAGCCCCGGCGGAGGGCGAGCTCCAGCGTGGTGAGCGCTGGCGCGCGGGGTGCGGATGGTCCTCCCGGAGCCCACTCCCGCAGCCGTCCGCACGCCCTGCTGCTCCGGCCGTAAGCAGGGTGCTCAGCTGTGCTGGGCGAGACGTCTCGCGGCTCCCGCTATCGGCCTCTGCTCCCTGCCGGCCGTGGGTTGCGTCTGGGATACCCTCCGCCCTGCGCTCCTGCCTGCCCCCGGATGCCACTCCGGCGGGCACAGCTCATGAGCCCCGCTTCCTTTCTCCCTCACCTGGTCCTTGCCTGTGCCCGGAGTCCGCTCCGCGTCCGCATTTAGGCACCATCCCCTGCCCAGCGCGCCGGGACGCGGAGCCCCGCGATCCCCACGCGCCAGGGATTCCCCGGCGCGCGCTGCCCAGCTCCGATCTCCCGCTGAGAGTCGCACGTTTCCTCTGCACTTTTTCGTAGAGAGATCTGCTCAGAGAACAAAATCGCGACGACTAAATACCCGTGTCTGAAGCCGTCAGGCGAGCTCGCCACATGCTACAGGTAAGCCTGGACGCTCTTGCGGGGGCGTTCGCCACTGCGCACCGGGCCGGCTGGGGAGGCGGCACAGTAAAAGAAGGGTTTGGAGACGCCCTGGGGACCCCGGTCGCGTTTCCGCTGGAACATGCTGGGTGCCAGCTGCGCGGTGCGAATCTTTGAGTGTTGGTTGAATAGGAGTCAGAGCAACACTGGGCAACTGAGTTTGCATCTAGGGTGCGTACCCTGAGATCTCGAGGATGTTTGCCGCTCCCTGAAATACTTGCGTGGTGGAAGTCGGAGAAGAGGTTACAAGTCTGTGAAGGAGACTGGATCGGATTTTGGGTGTAAACAGTGGGGCATAGCGAACATGGATGGCTGCTTTTGTGTTTGTGTTTTGTTGCGAAAGTACAAAGTCACCAAGGCAATTCTTGGCACTTGGCTGTGTTCTGACCTTCTGCTGGGGCGGAGGGTGATTGTCAAGGCCTCTGGACGAAAAAGGGAGAGGATTGTGAGTGGTTGTGTTGAGGGAAAACAAAAAGATTGTTGGGGCGGAGGAAAAAGTCTTTCTAAAAAGGGGGGGCACAGATCCACCTGGGTGTTTGTTAAATGAGTGACCCTCGTGCTCGTTAAAACTAAGCCTGGGTGCTGCTAGGGAATCCGTGGTTATAAAAGATTTCCCAGGTGGTTCTTATCTCCGAAAGGCGAAAACCACTGTCCTGCTTGCAGCCCTTTGGAGATGAAGGTTGATGTTGAATTCTTGGCTTCTGTTCCAGTGCTCTCATTGGGTAAGGGAACATGCACACGTAAACTTTTATTGGATGTCTGCTTTTCATAAGTGCTGTGCAAGGCATTGTGATCATATACCCACACCTGACTGTCTCTGAAACTCGTAGAAATCTGTTCAGATTGCCAGGATAGATACTGGGTACTACAAGGTAACACAGCAGTCCCTAGAAACGAACTTGAAAGAAAACCATGTTTTACTCCTCATAAGGTTGTAGCCTATGAATCAGTCATAGCGTTTCTTGGAGCTGAAAGCATTTCATTTACACATAAGTGGTTCCAGGGCTGTCAGTTTATGGGTGCAGAAGCACCATCAGTTACATCACATACTTCTGATTTTAAATCTGTTGTTGGCCGTGGAGGGACAACGATCACTTAGGCAAATCCACAGTCACTCCTTGGGCTTGGAAAAGGCTACCTTTTATTGGCATGTGTGGGGATGAATGCTGAACAAAATGAGACAGGTAATAGAGGATAAAGGAGTGTGTTCAACTGGCAGGTTATGTCTTCAGGAGGCTAAGTGTGTGAGCAAGTTCACCCAGCTGGTGAAGTGACCTGGTGGTGGTGGCAGCAAGATTGTTGCTGGGTTCCAGCCTTGTCTTTTATCCACACAACCGCAGTGTTTCTTAGGACACATTGTTTTTTTATCAGCACGGTATAATGTCTCTAATTTAACATGGGAAATGTCTCTGAGATGGTTTGCTCATTTATGCAGTCTCTGAAGGTCAGACTTCACATAAATCGGTGACAGTTACAGAATACAAGTTAGATTTTCAGAAACCATTTGTTGCCCAACTATTCTGTTTGTTAATGCTATTGCTGTCATCTTTTTCAGACTTTTTTTTAAAGCACTGTGGCATTTCTTTACTTTCAACAGAAGACACTAGCAGCACCTTGGCATGTGTTTTCACTAACAGCTACTCCAAGAAACTGATATCTAGCAAAAACGATATTTTATATCACGGAGAAGAACAAAGAACTTTGTTTAAAGGAATGGGCAAGGATGCTTTCAGCTTGAAAGAGGTGTTGATCCTTATGTCTATGAAAAGATCTTAGATTTTGGTTTTAGATCTATTTTCTCTGTGGAAGTCAGGAGTTCTCTGTATTCCATTGGTCTTAGCCTGTTTCTGTAATCTACTTATCTTGAACCCTAAGAATAGAGAATATTGTTTCCCTTAGTTTGTGTCTTGATTGTCCTAGCCCTGTAGATGGCGCTACCTCAAGTATCATCTGGAAACCAGCCGCACAGTGTGATCTGGTAGCTCGTTAGAATCCCGGCCTCTGCCCCCAGATCTCTTGAATCAGGATCTATCTTAATGAGAGATGTGTAAAATCTTGAAGCACTGGTGTAAGAAACCAGTGTCCTCATCCTTGGGACACATGCAGACCCATTTAGACACATCCTTTAAGGAGCATGAGGCCCCTGCAGATGAGCAAGCAGTTAGCTCTCCTACCTCATTAAACTACGGTGAGATGTAGAACCAGCCTTCCAGGAAGCCAGGCTTTAAAGATTACTTTTAATTGAGCTGTGAGTAATGCAGCATTAGTGATGGAATGTTCTTTGACTAGATAGAATTCTCTTTATCCGGTGGCTTTTGGTGAATGGTTTTCAGCACAAGTGAAAAAACTCTGGAAGCCACTTTGAATTTGAAGTGTTTAAAAAGTTACTGTGTCATGCCACTGCATTCTCACTGCAGCAGAGTGAGACCTTGTCTCTTTTTTTTTTTTTTTTTTTTTTTTTTTTTGAGGCGAAGTCTCACTCTTGTCCAGGCTGGAGTGTGATGGTTTGTGATCTTAGCTCACTGCAACCTCTACCTCACAGGTTCAGGAGATTCTCCTGCCTTGGCCTCCCAAGTAGCTGGGATTACAGATGCCTGCCACTATGCCTGGCTAATTTTTGTATTTTTAGTAGAGATGGGGTTTTATCACGTTGGCCATGCTGATCTCAAACTCCTGACCCCAGGTGATTCACCCATCTTGGCCTCTTAAAGTGCTGGGATTACAGATATGAGCCACCATGCCCAGCCAAGATCTCATCTCTTAAATCAATGACAGATAGGTTTAATATGAAAATGAGTAAGGTAGGATAAGTAATAAATCTGTTCTGCCATTATACCCAATATTTATAGTAAACTAAATTTTTTGGAGAAGAAAAGATGCACTCCAAATATCCTTTGTCCTGAAACTACCTCCTTACCCTACTTTTGTTTTACTTGGTTTCATCTAAGCAACACCTTTCCACTCCTAGCATTTTTTTTATTAGATACTGAACGAGGGTGACAACTTGAGGATTTGACATGTATTTCACTATTTTATGCACTTCACGTACAGCTGTCTCACATACAGCCAGCTTTGTAGCATTTGTATTATCTGAGCTCTACAAAGAAGTGAACCAAACCTCAGAGGGATTAAATATTAATGACATGCCCAAGGTCGCAAAGCTAGTATGTGTGAGAGCCAGGAGTCAAATTCAGGGTTGTCTGACTTCAATACATGAGCCCTTTCATCATCCCAGAGGTGCCCATGGGATGTTCCAGACTCTGGGATATAAGAAGACTATAAGCCCAGATGGCTATAAATTTCAAAGACAGTTTTTTCAAAGACAGTTTTACAGAAACCAGCATCATCCACCAGGTTTACATTCAGGCTTTCTGAATTACCATTGCCTTGGACAACTGACCTTGATTAGACACAAAGTTGGTTCATATATAAATAACTTGTAGGATTTCATCTTAATCAGAGTCAGTGTCTCCATAGATTCTCTATCCCCATTGTATATTGTGCCAAGTACCCGACATTTATTTAACACTTCTCAAATGAATGCCAGTGACAGCTGAATGAGTTGATGTATTTGCTCAGCATTATGTGACACAGGACGTATTCTTAACTGTAGTTAAGAGATCAGAGTTGGGGTGATGTAGCTGAACTGAACTGATAACTAAACTAAGCATGTAAAGTTATTACAGTATTGCCAGTCTGTGGCTATCAGAATTTTCTCCACAAGTTGTTTCTACCCCTTCCCAAACTATGTAGTTTGAAAAAAAAGATTTGTCTTTCCTTTATTGGGTTATATCAATAAAAAGGCTTTCCTTAAACAAGAAACATGCTTGTGAGTGGGAAACGCTAATAAAACCCAGTTTTCTCTGAGGCTGTGGAATAACATCCTAATCAACGCTTGATTTCTTAATTAAGAATTTATTGTGCATTTATCAGAATAGTTCCTAGGAAATGTTTGAGCATACAATGATAAAGTCCCTGGTCTCAGTTTGCAGACTTGAAAATTCAGGACTAAACTGACCAGTAAGCAATGGTGTATAATTGAGTTCATAGGCATGTAGTTCATATGCTGTGTTAGCAATGGGGAAGAAAGATAAGCAGCTAGAAATGGCTTTTGGGCTAAAAGAAGATTTAACCAAATTCTTCAAAGTGCTTCTCTCCGCCCCCCCCCCCCCCGCCCGTTTTTAAAGGTGTGCACTTTTATTCAACTGGTCTCAAGTCAGTGTACAGGTAAGCCCTGGCTGTCTCGCTGTCTCCACCCACTCTCAGGGAGACCAAAAGCCTTCATACATCTTGAGTTGGGGGACAAAAAAGGGAGCCATGAGGGATGGTCAAAATCGCATTAAGGTGAAGATTTTAAAAATTTTGCATTTAATAACTTACACAAAAGCAATGCTGTCACCTCCCCCGTGTGGACTCAGGGGAGGGCTGGGCCGTTCTCCTTAGAAGTGGGGTGGCTTTTAGGAGGGCAAGGGACTTCCTGTAACAATGCATGTCATTGTATTTGGAATGATTATTTTAAAAAAGAACAATGTACAGTCAGTCCTCGGCCACATTGTAGGGCTTTGGGTGATGCTCGTGCCAGGCCACTGCTTTCACCTTCACTGCAGAAAACAAGAGGGGATTGGCACGGCTTTGTGTGTGTGTGTGTTGGGTGGGGAGGGTTATTTATTTTTTGGCTTGACAAAGTGGTTCTTTAACTGTGTTAAGTGCTTTTTAGAAACTAGCTGCGATTTTTGGCTTTAGGGTTTATGGATCTCCAAGTGGAGGCGAAGTGGTAGGGATGCCCCGGGTGCCCCTCTGCCCGGCTGGTATTCATCTGTCCAGCCAGTGCGGTCTCATTAGGCAGTGTTCTCGCTTAGGGTAGCTCGTGTTCCCATAGGAAACAGTGACATGGGGATGTAAAAACTCCCACTGTTCTTTGAGATAACACAACTGTGTTGCCAAGTCTTGTGAGAATGTAG